GCATCCGTTCCTACACTGCGGACACCTACTACATCGGAAGCTTCGGAGAAACGCGTGGTGCGTCGCACTGTGACGAATGTCTCTCCAAAGCAGTCTAGTTCCAAAGCATGGTGGAAACTCCTCGGCAAAGCAAGTAAAGACGAAGCCTTGCAAGCATTCCGTGCATATGGTGAGTCCAAAGGTTTAACCATGACGGCAAAAAATTTTGCGTCACGAGTGTACAAACAACCGGAATTCACTGACGTGCAGACCCGTCGAGCGGCGCACAAAGATGCTCGAGAGTACATTGAGTCCATCGCCAAAAAGGCCAAAACAACTTGATTGCAAAGCAACTCAGTTGGAGTCTCTTTTAATTATCATCTAAAGGAAAGCTGGTTTCCCAGCTCAGACGTGAAGTGCATCCAGCTCAGCTGACTCTGCAGGAAAAAAAAACGCAACGCAGTTAAGTCAAACATGTCCGTTTCCCGTTTCAAGGTCCATGGAAATTTCCCTTTCAGTTTCGATAATCGTGCCACTGATCCGTGTCCGTTTCTGTTTCCAGTCTCCTTATTCCATGTGGTGTCCTTTTTTCAAACCACACATGTCTGCAGCCATTGAAGCAGCGTTTACTCGAGATGAAGCCTCCCACTTGCATTCCAATCAAACGCCGCCAAGGCGGTGGAGCTTCCAATGGTCGACCAGAACGAATACGGTCAACCCCGCTGCAAATCCAGTCGTACTTGTCCAATCACATGAATCTACAACGTATTGAGCGCCACATCCAGTACCTCCTGAGATGCGTAACTTGCCTCATTTGGATTCAAGTTACCATGTGTCAGATTTCAAACATTTGTCTTCCAACGCAATCCAAGGATTCAACTTCAGCACATACTTTGGCTCGTTACCTGATTCTGGTGAAGCATCGACGCACACAAGTGATTTGGAAACACTAAATGCACACTGAAATGCACAGCAATACTGCGATTTAAAGTTCGCTTTAATTCAAAGCACTAATTCAAAGGAAAATCTGCACTTTCAGTGTCATGCATTGAGTGAAAAAAAGTTCCGTCATTGGAATCAGACTGGTTTTTTCGTCATCTCGTTTCCGTTTCCAGTGTCCATGTCCTTCTCCGATTTTCACAAATTATCTTGTGTGTCTACTTTTTTTCCCCAAAGAGGGACAAGGACTAACCTTGCACAAGCTTATCGTGATTTCGTGATAAGCTTTCAAAATAATCTAGATAGACTATCATCAAGAAATCATGGATGATAACCTAAAAAGACTATTTATAATCTAACCGGATCCTAGGGGATGGTATCACTACAGGCAGACTGGATAGAAACTGTTTCTGGATTTTCATCTACTCCTTTTTGGTCTCGGACGTACTTACAAACTGGGAGTTGAGAACAAAGACTATATGCTCTTTATCGATTGACGCGCCGTGCGAAGATACATTTGATGCTAAGTCCTCCTTCCATAACTGCTGAATGCTTTTGGCAAATGCCATGCCACCATTTTCAAAAAGTTGTACGAAGCATTACGTTGATCGGTTCAACGCGAAATCGTGGAGATCTGTACGATTTCTCGTTTGACTGATCAGCGGAACGCATCGTACAATTTCTTGAAGAACGGTGGCATGGCATTTGCAAAAAGCATTCAGCAGTTGTGCAAGGACAAACACTATATGCTCCTGAACACGATGCAAATGCGATCGAAAGAAAAGATGGCGTTCGTCCCAGCTCAGAACAGGTTCTGTGCAAACAGTTGCAGCTATTTGTATGTCACTGTCAACAGCTGTCGTGGGCGCATTGATGCAATGTGCGAAGATGATGCCTGCGATAGCGAAGTTTATACTAACAGCTTGTGTCGGCACATTGATGCGCTGTGCGAAGATGATGCCTGCTGAAGAAAGTTTATCAGAGTGCGACAGTTGTTACGAGAAGGAAGTGTGTCATCCGATGAATTGAGGCGAGGTAGCTACCATTATTTGTATTTTGCTCTACTGCCTTATGATGCCATGTAGGCAGATGTCGCGAGAGCTTCATGTCATGGGATGGTACACTGTCAACAGCTGTCGTGGGCGCATTGATGCAATGTGCGAAGATGATGCCTGCGATATTGAAGTTTGTGTTAACAGCTTGTGTGGGCACATTGATGCACCGTGCAAAGATGATGCCTCTCCTCTTGAAGAGAGTTTATAACACTGCGACAGTTGTTCGAGAAGGAAGTGTGTCATCCGATGGATTGAGGCAAGGTAGTTTCCATAGCTCCTGTGGCCACATTGAAGCACTGTGCGATAGTTGATGCGAGAAGCAAATGCGTTATCCGATGAATCATAGCGGCAAAACTTCGAAAGGTGCAGCTGTGTTTGTTGCTCACGCGCTTGTCTGCACCGGTGTCGTGGGGCAGTAGTTGACAAGCCAAGAGGAACAGGAGCGTTGTAGGCTAAATTCTGCACTGCCCATGGACAGCTGTTTTGTTGCAATTTCAGCGTGATCGCATCTTCTGATACTACCTGCCAGGTACTGACCTCATCGCGTACATGGTCCACGCCGACACCCGCACTCACCACACACCACACAGACACACACACACATACACACACACACAGACAAACACCCACACACACACACACAGACAAACACACACACAGACAAACACACACACAGACAAACACACACACACACGCACGCACGCACGCACACACGCACGCACGCACGCACGCACACATACACGCCCACGCACACACACACACCCACACACACACACATCATCCAAACGCCAGTCGTGGGCCATCCGTTTTCGTGATGGTCTGCGCTGTACGTTTGCGGACACATAATCAATGGTCACGCATCGATTGCCCTTCGCCGCACTTCCTGGCGTGGGGCATCTTTGATCGTGGCCGCACACCACACACACATACTCGCACACACACACACCTCACACACAAACACAACTCATCCATACACAACTTACTCACACATACTCGTCCACACATAACTTACTCCACACCAATCCTTCACCATCTCTTTTCTCTTTCTTGCTTACCCCATGCCGTCTTTGCCTTTCTTTTGTTGCTTGTTGGAAGAAGTTGACTTGTGGGGTTATCCGGTCCTTTAATTGATAGTACCATCAACTATGTCTATGAACTATATTTACCAACTATGTAATATATATATATATATATATACATATATATATATACATATATATATATATATATACATATATATAATTATAGATACAATTATAGATATGTAGTTGATATATCCTATCTATATAATATCTGATTGTATACTGTATATGTATAGCAGTTTATAGATATATGAAAATGGGTCAAAACCTACTATTAGCCAGCTATTTTAGGGCACCTAGCGTCCCAGGGTTTTGACTCATAGCCATACATCTATAACAATATGATAAGAGTTATACATATATATAAATCCAATAATATATAATACTGAAAGGTTCAGGTTTATGGCAAATAAATATAATATTCACATATTGATGATATGGGAACTATAGTTGTAAAATATTGGTTTATATATATATGTACAATAGTGAATAATACTTGATACAATTAATAATTTAGTACAACCATTATACTATCATAATATCTATACACTCAAAATATAAATACAATATAATATATCTAATATCTATCAGTTATCAACTCTATGTATATACATACATGTAAAAACAGACTATATAGACTGTATATATATAGATAATAATGTACAGCATCTACATCTATGTTACATTTACTTATCTATATATATATATATGGTTGATATCATTTGTTTGAAAATAATTTCAAATATCAACAGTTACAATATCCAATTAAATCTATCAACTATACATATATATATATATATGCATACAATATATCTAAATATAATTAGGTAATATCTATAGAATATTACATGTATAATATGTAAAGAATACTGATGATATATGAAACCTATAGCCTATACAGTTTTTGCCATTTATTAGCTATAACTGGTTATTTCTATGGGGTTATACATTCTATAAATGGGGTTTTGTTAGTACTTATAACTGGTGAAAGGGCCATAACTGTACTATGTATACACTATATATACTATATAGACTATATTGATAATTGTGTACAGTATCTACATCTATGTTACATTTATCTATCTATACATATATATATAGTTAATATCATTTTTTGAAAATAATATCAACTATCAACGATTATAATTTATAATATGGTGTTGAATGGAGTTGAGGATTACCAATGGTCATAATCATTGCCAATCTTAGATACCCTGCAAAAAAATGATTTCTTTGCTGGTTAGTAGATATTCCCATACCAAAAGACTAAAGGATCAAAGTATCCATGTAAGATTGACCTAGTAATAAGATTGGATCTATCTATAACAATGTGAGGCCCCCAAGATAGCTAAGTTGGTGCAAATAACTCCAATTTTACTATGGTTTATGGTACACAAATAACGAACTAGTTACTGGGGCGAATCTAAACCAACTAACATCACTGGGGGGCCTCACATTGTTGGTTTTATGTCATGTTTATATCAACAGTTATAATATCCAATTATATCTATCAACTACACATGTGTATATATATATACATATATCTGTACATAATTATACTTACCATCTGGTTATTTAACATAGCCATGGAAAATCACCATGCTATTAATAGGTAAACCATCTATTCTATGGGCCATCTATACCATGGCTATGTAACAAATAACCAGAGGGTAATATCTATATATCTCTAATTGGTGGTTTCAACCCCCCTGAAAAATATTCGTCAGATTGGCATCATCCCAACTATTGGGGAAATAAAAGCCATGTTCCAAACCACCAACCAGTATATAATTAATGGGAAAATCATCACTAAAAATTGCACTAATATAACCAGTATATAATTACTAAAACAATATATATATATATATATATCACTGATAAAACCAACCAGGATATAATTACTTAATATCTATAACAATATTGCTGCCGCTTTCAGGTGAGCGTCGCCACGAAGTCCGTCAGCTCCGCCCAGGTGGCGTCGTCCACTTCGTTGAGGCGGCAGAGTTCCAGGGCGCTGCCATCACCTGGCCGTGACGGTCCAAAAACGTGGGGAAAAACGTGGGAAAAACATGGGGAAACCTGGGAAAATCATAGGAAAAGTCTAGAAAAACCTGGGAAAAATGTCGAAGAACCACGGAAACATGCCGAAGAACTTAGGGAAAACATATAGGAACATCAAGGAAAAAAGTGGAATTTCTATGGAAATATATGGAGAAATGGGTGGTATATTTACCAGGGTTTGATGGATGTTGAGCATCAATTTGACATTTTGATGGGGCCCAAGAATTGTGGGGACTTAACACACATTAAAATTCTTGAAAAGCAGACATATGAGTTTTGCTACAAAAGGGGTGACTTTTATCAACTATGATGGGGATATGTTCTATGCCAATAAGTTACAATGCAAATGTATGCAAATGTTGCCTAACGGTGTCAGCCCCATCTAATGCTTGCTGATCATGGGAGGGTTTTGTTCATGTCCCAAAATCAAGATTTCATCAATACAATGTGAGGCCCCCCAGTTATAAGTTGGTAGTTATTGTTTTTTTGAACCAACTTAGCTATCGTGGCCGGGGGCCTCACATTGCAATAAGCGTCTGACTTTAAATCCAGAACCATCGGGATTTCACCCATCAGACTAGTTAAAATAGGTGGTTTCTTAAGCATGAAGCTGTTTATCAAATGATTTTCCATATATTCCATGAAATATCCCATGATCTTCCAATTAAATCACCATAAATCACCGACATCCCCCTGTGCCCAGCTCCGTCCGAATAATCTAGTTCGGTCATTTTCCAGTCCCCTAAAATGGAGGTACCGTACCATGTAAAACCCGATTTTGGGGGCATATCGCGTGAAATTTTGCCCCTACATAGGCCAAACAAAAAAAAAGTAGGTAGCTCCAATAAATCGGTACCCTCTGGCTATTTAACATAGCTACGGAAAATGACCCATTTATAGATGATGTACCTATGAAAACGGTGATGTTCCATGGCTATGTTAAATAACCAAAGGGTACCTGCAATGGCCATTGATCATATTATCCATTGACCGTTTATATCTATCTATATAATACCATAAAAATCACCATTCATATAGCCAGTCATCCATGTATCACATTATATCCTATAGAAACAAACCTAATCGGGATGAACTATTGTTAACATTGAGTGACTATATCAATTGCCATGGGGTCCAGTAAAGATACACAACATGTGGAAAAGCTATGGAAAACTCCAGTGGTTTTCCGCAACCAATAACCACCTATATCACAAAAGGATCGTCCAACTAGGCCAAAAAATGAAAGTTCTGGTTGGTGGTTGAGCCACCCATCTGAAAAATATGAGTGAATTCGGATGATGACATTCCCAACTGAATGAAAAAAACACATGTTCCAAACCACCAACCAGAAGTTATATGGGGGTTTACATGGTCATGGGAGTAGCCCAGGTTCGCTGGATGGTGAAACATGTTGAAACAAGGGAAACACATTAATTAAAATGGAAGATTTACGGCTATCCCTATTTTAGGAAACCGCCATATACACTTGTTGATTGGTTATGAACTAGGGAGTTGTACTACCTGATTATGATTCTGAACTAACCCTGTAGCGAAACCATTCTCAACCAACTCGTATTTCATGAGATGGGATAGGGCGAGCAAATTTTAATGGCTTGCTGCATTGGAAACAAAAGAGAAAAATGCTCATCATTCAACAGGCGTTTATAAAATCCTCTAAATCCTTTTTTCCATCGCCATGAACATCACCATTAAATCCAATAAAACCACAATTACAAGAGGTGTGCCGAAGCCAAGATGCTAATTGATATGGTCTGTATTTCCGAGTTCGACATGACCAAACTTCGCACGCCGACCCTGGTCCGTCCAAACGTCGCCGCGAGTCACCACGGTGACTGCGACTTGGACCAAATGCTGAAGAAAACAGATGGTCTTTGGACCAAGTGGTGTGATTTAAGGACAAAAACTGAAGGAAACCATGGTGCATATTGTATGCCTTTTCAGAGAAAAGGAGTATCCGGCCGTTTTTCGCATAATCCGATTCCGGGATATATGATAGATGTAATAAGATAAATTCAACAAATTTCTGAAGCAGAGGTCATATGAAAGGATCCTCACATCATTTTCAGTGCGACCAGATGGACTTGGGGTATGCTCCCCAGGTTCCCACTGAGACCCTCATGCAAGTACACATGAAAATTGGTAAAAGTCCTTTCTGGGTACTTGACATTACACTCAAAAAGAATCAGATTTTCAAATATGTGGATATTCATACAAGGCGGGCCCCCAAACGATACCTAAGTTGGTTGAACTAGGTCAACCATGGTTTATGGTAGTTGTAACTATAGCTAAGTTGGTTGTACGTAGGGTAATGGCACTGAAAACTGAGAACTATAGTATATAACTATAGTATACTATCTGGTTAGATGAGATGGGGTTATAAAGCAACAAACGTCACTTGGGGACCCCAGATTGTAGAGGCTTACCCATCTCCATGCAATAATGAAAAGCCGAGAACCACCGATCTCAGATCATCTTGGCATGTCCCCCGCCACAGCAGATATGTTGGGGGGCAAAACTAGGTGGACACAGATGTAAAATGACAATGTGTTTCCCTTTGTGGCTATTGTTTGCGTATAATCGGCTGGAGCAAACCTGTTCAAGGTTGAGTAAGTTCCGATCTTCTGCCTCCAAAATAGCACCAACCATTTTTACTGACCTTGGACACTAGAAAAAACATCACTCCAATCAAAATGACATGCACTCAACTCCATTCCACAAAGGTCTTTCAGTCTCCCGGCGTGAAAGAAGCCAGCGGCAGATTCGGGAGACGAGCGAGTCGTGCGCGCGAAAAAAAAAGCGGTGCAAATTGCAGTGCAAATGAAGACTTCACCAGGAAGGAACTGAGGTTGCTATTCGATGTTCAAACAACAACAAACACATGGACAAACAAAAAGACTATACAAAGTCCAAAACCGAAACAATTATTTCAATCAAAGCAACTATCTTACACATAAACAACTCAGACTTATACAGGGTCTTTTTGTATAAGTTGTTGATGGGGTAATCCAAACAACTTATACAAAACTACCTGGGATTTACCATGGGATTTACTCCAAGAACTTGAGCAAATCTACTGCTGGTTTCCACCCATGACATTGGCTTGTGAAAAGGGATGTCATGTATCACCAACCAAAAAACAGAGATATGATATATGTATGTGTATATATATATATATATTATGTATATATATATATATTATGTATATATATATATTATGTATAAATATATATAATGTATATATATATATATTATGTATATATATATATATATATATTATGTATATATATATTATGTGTATATATATATATTATGTATGTTTATATATGTATTTATATATTATATATATATCACATCTTAACACCAAACCATATTCTTGTCTGGCTGGTTAAGCTAGCCATCACTCATGTGCAATGAGTAACTGGAGATCCTACATATTCCCAAGGGATTGGCAAATCATTTTGAAGAGAAACACATCAAACAAGTTGGTGCTCCCCTTGGTTACCCTCTGGTAAACATACAAAAAAATTGGAAAATCACCATTTTCAATGATCCACTATAAATGGTCATTTTCAATAGCTATGTTAAATTACCGGAGGGTAGCTAGGCGCTTTTTGTCAACTCAGTTTGGGAGGCGTTTGATGATGATAACTCCATTGATAGGTCGAGATTTGCTTCAAACATGGGCGGGCCATATACCCATATGCTCCATGTATGGAATATTTACCAACATTTGCCCTAAAAATAACCTAGTTTTGTAGGTACATGTACTTACCATACATGGAGCATATGGGATAGTGAAGTTTGTCTGCAAGAGATTCGAGTCAGCCTAGTTTGAGCCATCGGCAAGGACGGGCCGATTTTTGAGAGCTTTCTGCTGATATTTCAACTGCTGTTGGATTTGTTGGTGGATGCATCTGCAGTTGAATGAATGTTTTTTTCCTTTTTGAAGGCAACTTACCCTCTGGTAAACATACAAAAAGCTATTGAACATGGCCATATAGTGTCGTGATATACCCTTGAAACATGGTGGTTTTCCCTCGTTTTTTGTATGTTTACCCAGCAGTCCAGTGATGTTAACCCCACGCAAGGCGTACCTCGTTAAGGCCTCCTTTAGGCGATTTTGGTCGAAACATTTGGCGAAAATCAGTGGCTGCGTTCACTATAAAACACCTATATATAATACCCTCTGGTAAACTAACATAGCAATGGAAAACCAACATTTTTAATGGGTAAATCAACGATTTCTATGGCCATTTTCAATAGCTATGTTAGTTTACCAGAGGGTCATTTGATGGTTGTAATTTACACATATCAATAATAGAAGTAGTGATGATGATGATGATGATGAAGAGTTGGGATGATTATTCCCAATATATGGAAAATAATCCAAATGTTCCAAACCACCAACCAGCTGTTAGATGATTTTGGTATATGTTTAGGAAAAGAACTTATTACAAGCATCCGATTTTCTTGGGGGAGGTACACAATTTGGACAAAAAAAGTGTTGGATTTACGGATGGTAATCTTCTCATGAAATACATGAAATATTGAAGATCTAGTCACATGGCTACAAAGTACCCTCGGATCTTGGAAGGTTCCCAACATGCTGTCCTCTATGGATGTTTCCTGATGTCCAATATACTACAATAGGTAGATCTTGGCTGGCTTCGAAGCACAAGACACAGCGGTCACCGCTAACCTTGGTAGCTACCCAGTAAACAACACGTTCTTGCAAGCAAAGTATACAATATATATATATATATAGAATGTGAGGCCCCCAAGATAGCTAAGTAGGTTTATAACTCCAATAACTATGGTTTTTGGTACTTATAACGAACTAGTTACTGGGGCTTAAAAACCAACTTTTAACTGAAGGGGCATCACCTTGTATATATATATACAACTATATATATATATATGTATATATATATATATATACATATATATATATATATTGCAGGTAAATTGCAATAAAATCAGTATCCCCGGTAATCCGTGGATTTCGGGCCTTTCTCCTACATTTTCAGACACACCCGTTTCAATCGTTGTAAATACTCGATCACAAATCACCATGATGTTCCTTAATTCACAATTATCTTGATTACAACACAATTTTTCTTCTTCACCGTTTTTGTTGTTTAATTCAAGTTTTTTTAATTAAAACATTTTTTGTTTATTAAAACATTTTTTTTGTTTATTAAAACACATTTTTTGTTTATTAAAACACATTTTTTGTTGCTTAATTCAGCCTTTTTGCTGGTCAAAACCGCCACAAAAAAAGTCACAGAAGGTGCAGTGCACCTCCTCGTTGAGCCCAATCACTGCAGGGACCTGAGACTTGGAGTCCGCGGCGCCGGTCACATGGGATGATTTTTGCATCCCCAATATAGAGTACCAAACGGTTCTAAGTACGTGTTTCAATTTTAGATGTTTTTTTTAATTGAACATATTGAATATATAATATATACATCATTATATATATATAATTTTAAGTTCGACTTTGTCACTATAGAGGTGTATTCTTGGGTTTACCACATGCTGTTTACGGCGAAGGGATTCAGAAGTCTAGTTGCGCCTTTAGGGAAATCCAAGAATTTGGGGCAATTTTTCACGTGAGAACGTGATCAAATTCTGTTCAAATTGGGCGCATTAATATATGCATTAAATCCATTAATCTATTTATACATTATTAATCATTAATCTAATATAATAATTCACTCACCTGAAATGTTGGGCCATTTTGGGATGATTCCCCTTATTAACCATGATTCCAGTGAGGGAGAACAGGGTCCGGTCGCAGAATTTGCCCATATTCAAAATCTTCATGGCAGAATTTCAAGACACCTTGCGCACTTGCCAACGTGCCTTAAGTATAACTTTTGAGACGCTGATAGAGGCGCACATCTCCACATGATCTGTTCTGTTCAGGGAAGGTCTTTCCAAACTCTTGCGGGTTGGAATATACACATCAATTTCCTGCATTCTAGCAGAAACAAAAAACACTCATTGTTAGTCTTTACCGTCCATCAAGGTTTATATACATGCCTTGTTGCTTGAACCCATATATCTTGATGGTGAACACGTAGATCCACGGAATGTGATTGTGATTGAAACACATCAAAAAACATCAAACTATAAGTACGCAGTTTACTTGCTGGTTGGACCAACATCTTTGTTTGCAATTTTAAAATTTCTTGCTGAAATGCACATCAAATCGCGTGGGTTTAATACTTCAACCTCAGGTAAGAACCGCCCATATGTTTTGATGCTCCATATGTTGAGGGTGAAATATCCATGAAAGGTCCTGAATTCCATGGTCAGATTCCAATTGTGCTGATATTACCGCTGAAGTTGCGTAAACCCACCTTAGAAAAAAACATATATAGATTAACATAGAAATAAACGTTAATCTTTTAATCTTCAAAACACTCTTCATAAAACCTGCCAAGCATTTTCACATTTTCTCAATCTGTGTTTTAAGTTTTAAATGGATTACCCTCTGGTTATGACCAACATTAGCCATGGAAAATCCACCCATGTTTAATAGGTAAACCATCTATAAATGTGCTATTTTTTATGGCTATGTTAAATAACCAGAGGGTACCCAATGTTGGCTCACCAGCTGAGTTCAATACATCGATCCAGGGGAGAAGCAGTTGCGCTTGACCTCACGGGATGCCCCGCTTCGGAATCGCTATTTTTTCTTTTTGTACTCTTATCAATACAATACAATGTTTATGACAGTTGTTATCAATGTTCTAAAGTATATGATATATTATGATATTGGTTTATACTTTATACCCCACAATATAAACATCGCTAAGTTGGTTTATCCATGTTTATGCCTACGGCTGGAAAACCGTACGTGCGTTTTGCTTCTTTTTTGAGTATTGCTCTTTGTCTTGGGGTTGGGGTGGGGTGGGGGGGCATGTTAACGTTCCTTGTACTTCGTACATGATATATTGCCATGTTGCTAAGATCTCGGGGATCTTTTACTACGTTACGTGTTGCTACGCTGCTGAGATCTCTAGTGTGGGTTGGGGTCGGGGTGGGGTGGGGGGGGGGGGCATGTTAACGTTCCTCAAACTTCGTACAGGATATATTGCGATGTTGCTAAGATCTCTGGGATCTTTTACTACGTTACATGTTGCTACGCTGCTGAGATCCTTGGGATCGTTTACTACGTGACATGTTGCTACGCTGCTGAGATCCTTGGGATCGTTTACTACGTGACATGTTGCTACTCTGCTGAGATCTCTGGGATCGTTTACTGCGTTACATGTTGCTACGCTGCTGAGATCCTGGGATCGTTTACTACGTTACATGTTGCTACGCTGCTGAGATCTCTGTGATCGTTTACTACGTTACAGGTTGCTACGCGTTATGAGTGCCATAATGGCAACTTGCTGTCGAAGACAGCTTCCACACTGATGGATCGCTGAGCCGACGAAGAGTGTTAAAAAAATCTGAGCATCCACGTCTGATGCACATGATGTTAACCTGGGTTTGTCAAAAATCAATAGATTTTGCATCCACTTTTGTTAACCAAAATTCAGTTATCCAAAGAGTTCGGAAGAGCATTTTATATTGTAAATTACAGGTGATTGTGACTCTCTGGAAACAAACAATCAAAACCCTCGCGCGGTTTCCCATCCGCCGGGATATTTATCACTACAATAACTCTTGAGTTTGTGACAGTAATAGCGAACTTCGATGGTGGGATTTTGTTTTTCGCACCTTTTCTTACTCGGCACATTGGGATTTTCATTATTTTGGGAATCAAAACAACATGACATTTGGATACATGTGGGATCCTTTGGGTACAATGTGAGGCCCCCGGCCACGATAGCTAAGTTGGTGAACATAACTCCAATAACTATGGTTTATGGTACTTATAACCAACTAGTTACTGGGGCTTTTGTTAACCAACTTATAACTGGGTTGAAACGTTTGTTTTACGAATGGTGTTATTTGCTTGCCTCCTCCCTGCGCGACTTTTAAACGCTAGCCTCAAGACCGACTTTTAAATGAGGGATCCCCAACCCATATGCTCCATGGTGCTGGTATATTTACCTGCAAAACTGGATGATTTTGGACAAGGGCAAATGTCGGTGTGCATATTCCAGCACCATTTTGTTCGCATATGGGATGGAAAATGTTTTTTTACAAGGTGGTGCCCCAGTTCGTTAGCTAAGTTGGTTCAAATAACTCCAATAACTATGGTTTATGATACTTTTAACTAACTAGTTACTGGGGCTTTGTTAACCAACTAACATCACGGGGGGGCCTCCAATAACTATGGTTTTTTGATGGAAAATCCCATCAATGGATGAGAATGAACTTTGTAGAGGATCATCCCACTGGTCCGCAGGGAGATATCCGCTACTAAGAAGTGGGACTGAAAAGTCATGGTTGCTAACTATGGTTACAATGTGGGGCCCCCCAGTGATGTGAACGTTAGTTTAGATTCGCCCCAGCAACTAGTTCGTTATTTGTGTACCATAAACATTGGTTATTGGAGTTATGTTCGCCAACTTAGCTATCTTGGGGGCCTCACATGGTACTAAGTATGTAACTAAGTCTAAGTGGGATGAACCTCGAAGTAGTCAGCTGGGACTGAAAAACAAAGAACATCATTGAGGGACACCAACCCTGAGCTGATGGTCATTCACAATGCTTGGGTATGAATCAACGCCAAGTATGTTGCTCCAAACAAAAGATGAATATTACTCCAGTACACGGATCAACACAGGTATTGCGGGTATTGTGGTGTGGATAGCTATAGATATATGTATTGCATGCATGTACATGTATATATATATATACATACGTGTATATATATATATATGTATCTATGTATATGTATATATATATATATATATGGGTAAATTAGAATATTTCACTAACCTGAAATGTTGGGCCATTTGGGGATGATTTCCATTATTAACCATGGTTCCAGGGTTCGGGAGAACAGTGAGGTCGCAACAAAAAAAATACTTAGATTTACGTATTGTGTTAAACAATACACCATTGTTATTGTGGAAACTAACCGAATTGCTAGTGATCATAAGGATGGTCTTGTGTGAATTGTTAATCCAATTTCCCATGGGGTTCAACATGTTTCAATCGATCCCAAAGATCTGCGCCATTGCAGAATCATCACCCTGCAAACCCTATGGATCCAGCCGTACCTTCTTAGGAAGTACTTGAGGTATGATTTAGGGGGTTAAGTACCTTCTCAGACAGTATTTGGATCCATAGGGAAATGGCTGAACATTGAAAATGAAACCATCAACGTGAATGGATTAGTAACAAACTGCTGTGAGTGTGTATATATATATGATATCAACCAATACAATTCAGTTTATAGCAATAAAGAACATAAATATCTATCAGTCATCCAAGGATAGATATATCCATCTGCATGTTTTATACACATAGAAACTGGATATATATATATACATATATCTGGTTGGTGGTTTGAACCATCTTGAAACAATATTAGTCAATGGGAAGGATTATCTCATATATTATGGACAATAAAACATGATTGAAACCACCAACCAACTATCTATCCATTCAGTCGGCTGGCCTGCGAGATCTTCTTCATGCACACAGCCACAACCTGTCCTCGGGAGACCCAGACTGGTACAGGAAACAAAAAGGGGCCAAAACGAGGTCAAAGTTGGTTTATAGCATGTAAGTAGGCTCACTATTGGTTAACAAGTAGGATAACTGTTCGAACTAGTGAGATATTGAATATCCCAAACCGAAAACCGTAATTGAGCATTGGATTTATTCATTCTGAGGTCCCTTACTGAGAGTATTTAATATAAACAGAGCAGCTAGAGGCCACAGCATCGTGACTGCCTCAATGCCCTCAGAATCTCTAATCTCTGGATTTTGAAACCACCAAAATATAGTATATTTATATAATATTATATAATTACCTAGAACACAAATGACTTTTGTTTTCAAGGTTTAGACCAAAAAAAACAGAGGGTTCACCATCCTAATTTGGGTTTCAGGTATATAGGTATACATAATCTATGCACTCAGATTGGAATACGATGTAACCAATCAGATTTCTTTGAGTTTTCAGGAGCATCTGTTCTCAGCTGGCATCATTTTCCCGTCTCTGAAAAATTGGCTTCAAGCTTCCATAGCCAAAGATACTGAGAGCAGTAAAGTTAGCATTCTCCAAAGCAAAAATAAATTCAAAGTTGATATGCCTTTAGGAAGCCATGTGATTACATCATATATTAATCTGTATATGTATATTATAAATACATGTAAATGTAAATTATATTTACACGCGCCTCGTAAGTCCTGACCCATCATAAGCCCACTAAGTAGGGGCTAATTGCTTTTTTCCGTTCAAGGATTTTCCGTTCAAGGATACTCTGCAGAAGCTACAACGGCCTGCTCTCCCCCTTGAGCTTCCACGCCCATGTGTTCCCGGCATGGTGGCGGCAACAAGCACTGTGCGAGGTCACCCAAAAAGAAAAGGTGCAAGGTCGACTGCATACAATCCGCATATGGAAGGTCAAGCAAACCGTATAGAATTACCCTCGTGTAAACTAACATCGACCTGGACATTTTCACCATTTGTAGATGATGTTTCTTGGGTTTCATCCATGTTAGTTTTCCCATGTTTTCCCTAGACCGATCAATTGCACCCAAAGCAGCTTGTCTTCAGCAGCTGTGTTTCCAAGGACGAAGTCCACATGTTTTCGACTGTACGAGGCTCACAGCAACGGCAAGGATAGACCAATCATTTTCCCCTCAAAGATCTCAAACGTTGACATTGGGGCAAGTGACGAAACACTAGCTCAAGATACAGGGGGTTTGTAATGAAAAGAAAACTTCCGAAGTTGTGACAGCTCAAAAGGTTCATCCAATGAGGATACAAGTCAAGCGGCTATCCAAAAAGATTGGATTGTTTTGAACTACTCGGGTTTGCTCAACAATTCAAGAGGTCCAAGAAGCAATCGCACATATTCCCAGCAGATTCCCTGAAAGACTGAAAGATGCATTTTATCGTGAAAATATAACGAGTCATCGTCAGCGTATCCAGCTGTTAATCATGGGTTTCATGCCGACACGCCTCCCAAGGTTGCTAGGACGGCTAGGAAAATGCAAAAAAACATTGGAAGCAAACTCCTAATTCTGGAGACATCCCTACTTTCGTCGGGTGGTTCAGCTCTTGGCATTGGCTCACCACTGGAACTGGAACCTTTTTTTTTGCCACACGTCATGCGCGGAAATGCCTGAGTCCCAGATGAGTGGTCTGTAGCTGGCGTGCAAGTGGGCTGTTTTGTAGCAAGAAAAACGACACCAAAAATACACATCCGTAAAGAGCATGTACAGTATATACCCGAGTGGGAAAACAACACATCAACGAACAGTGAGTGGTGCCTTGCAATGTGGGCCACCCAGTCATAAGTTAGTGATGATCCCCCATCCCATCCCACCTACTTCGTGATAACAAGCACAAACCCTGTTGAAACTAGTTGGTTAATGGAACTTAGCAATTCCAGACTGCGGCCCCACATTGTAGCCATGTTTCGACTCGTCAAACGTTCTGGGTAAATTATCATATTTCACAAACCTGAAAAGTTCGGCCACTCATGTTCCATTCCCGCGGCTGATGCCGTGCTGAAAAGTTCGGCTAAGGGATTCCCTGAATGGAAAATCAACATTATTAATGGGTAAATCAACTATAAACAGCTAGTTTCAATAATAGCAATGTTAAATTACCAGAGGGTATTCAATTTCAGCCATCACAATTTTAGAAAAGATAAAAGCAACACATCAATGAACCATTCACCAAGGTTTACCAAATATCTTTATTCTTGAATTCTGCTGAGTTCCTCATACTCCAGATGGCCGGATGGTCGTTGTGGCCCTTACGATTCCTGGCTCAGAAAGCATCATCTAAGTGATACATAACCAACTAGTTGCAGGAATTATAATCCTATTACATCCTATTTATACTCTTAAGGGCCATAAGTGTAGTTCCTGTTTATTTTTTTTACCAGCCCGAAACCAAGCCCCAAACCAAGTTGCTTTTGCCCAGCTGCTCGAACCTGACGCGGGCATGATACTACAATGTTGCTACATGCAACACATGTTAAAAAATAATCTGCCAAGCAAAGATTTACCCAGTTTAAACATGTTTAAGCTAACGGGTGCCAAACCGTACGTGTAGTTACACACATTTTCAACATGGGGTGGGGTGGGGTGGGGTGGGGATGTTAACGTTCGTTTGCAGTTGAACACGCCACGCATGCTACGCTGAGCATGTGTTGGGGTGGAGATGTGAATGTTCGGTTGAAGTCGAAGACGCCTCTGCTGCTACGCTGATCATGGGGTGGGGTGGGGTGGGGATGTTAACGTTCTTTTGCAGTTGAACACGCCACGCATGCTACGCTGAGCATGTGTTGGGGTGGAGATGTGAACGTTCGGTTGAAGTCAAACACGCCTCTGCTGCTACGCTGATCATGGGGTGGGGTGGGGTGGGCATGTTAACGTTCGTTTGCAGTTGAACACGCCACGCATGCTACGCTGAGCATGTGTTGGGGTGGAGATGTGAACGTTCGGTTGAAGTCGAACACGCCTCTGCTGCTACGCTGATCATGGGGTGGGGTGGGGTGGGGTGGGGATGTTAACGTTCGTTTGCAGAGGTCTACATGCACAATGATCAATGAAAGTGGCAAGGCAAAAAAGGTCCGAAATTTGTGCTGTAAGGGTTGCAAAATCACAGAAAAATGACCTTTTTTGGGAACTTTTTTTTCCTGATCAGAAGGCCACGAAACACTGAAAGGGTTGTCATTTCTTTCAGCATGTTGATGCGCCTACACGCGCGATTCCGCACCCGGCGGGATGTTTAAGATTACCCTTAGAATTTACCAAACACTATGCACAGCCTCGATGAAATCAACAATTCTGGGGGTTACCAGCAGCATCTTGGGCAATAAAAGGTCTTGTGGGCTGGTTCAATCCCCATATGCCCAGGCATTTCATTTTTTTCTGAGTAAAAAGTTATATTCTGGTTGGTGGTTTCAACCTACCCCTCTAATAATAGTGGTTGTAATACCTAGTAATAGTGCTTATATATGGTTATATAATGGGATTATAGCATATTAAATAAAAGGTGGTATTATGGTACCATATACTATCATTGGATATCATTGGTGCCATCCACCTGGTGCCATCAAAATTACCATAAAGTGGTTACAAAGGAAATTCCAACAAAAATTGTGGTACCATAACAAATAGTTCTATGGGGATTATAATGGTTATTACCATCAAAGTAGTTCAATGGGATTATAATGGTACTATAATGGTACTATAATGGTGGTACCATAACTGGTTGGTGGTTGAGCCCTACCCCTCTGAAAAAATAATGGACGAATCGTCAGTTGGGATGATGACATTCCCAATAAATGGAAAGTCATAAAAACCATGTCCCAAACCACCAATCAGTATTATAATACCATACTATATGGATCTATATTGTTATTCTATAAAGTGAACATTTAAACACGTAATATTCCATGGCTGAACAGCTCATTATTTCATTTATGCTATATTTCAAGAAACAATGACTGTACCAAATGTTTCAGCATCATAGAGCATTTAGGGTGAGGAAAAAACATAAAATCATCATAGAATCCCCCAAGAAAATCTGAGCAAAATCCGATGCTATTCAAGTATGACCATTTTTCATCCAGATATACAATGCTGTGGATGGTTGCGAAATTCTGCACCAGTTGGTAGATGGTACACATCCCATTATAATCCTATTGTTTACAGTGTTTTATAGGACTCCCAATAGCTACCAACTGGTGCAGGATTTCTTCCATCCACAGTATTTCTGCAGGATGGTGTGAACAACTATAATCCCCATTAACTATAGTTATATCTACCATAAATCATAGAATTCAGCCACTTATAAGGCAATTTAGCTACTTTGGGGGCCCCATCCCGTAGGAAACAACAGTGATTTTTCCCAATGCTCGTCACCAAAGACTTCCAACGGTCACCTTCTGGTCGAAGAGTGGCGACTGGATTCGCATGTTGGGAGTCTGGAATGGACCTGGGGGCGCGAAGGCAATCAGTTTCATGGAGATGAAAAGCCCCCACAAAGCATCGTCTTATTGGTGCTTAGCAGGGAATGCGGGAATGATCCATAATCAATAGTAATAATCATCCCATACCCCCAGTCCCATCCATTGCCTACGTTTAGCACCAGTAAGTCGTTAAATATACTTAAAGTCCTGTTATCAATTGCCGAGGTTCTTCAAATGAATCCCCAAATCCATAGGATTCAATACTAAACTTGACTAACATGATTTTGCGGGCGATTTGGGGTCCCTATTTTTGGACACCTCCAATTCAACGGTTTCATGTTCCTGATACAATTACCATCATTCCACATCCATCTTGATGAATGTATCGAACATGTCCACCAAATGCAAGTGGTGCTTTAACCAACAACAATGCTGGTACCGACCTTAATGCTGTCACCCATGGCCAAGCAGCTCAGCATTGCTTTCAGGAAGAGGTCGTGCACCTCGCTAAGTTGGTTTATAACTGGGTTAAGTGATTGATTTGTGGGAAATATAAGTGTAGATAACTGTAGTTAAAACCAACTTCTGTGGTTATGCTTTATGGATGCTGTATCTATGTTTGGTCTATAACATCCTATAACTACAATCACTATGAAATTGGGGCTGTCTCACAGCTTATGTGTGTTATCATACCATGCTCATACCTCACAGCCTTGCATAATCCCAACGGCACCAGAAGTAATAGCTGGTTAGACGCAGGATCATGAAAAGACAGGTGATGATCCGTGTGAACTTGATGATTCGCTCATCTTTTTCCAATACAAGATTCAAACAAACCACCGAAAAAACATAGATGTCCAGTACACCCTAACACCCCGACATCTTCAAACGTCATTTTTGGGGCCCCGTTTTTCACGGCTGAATTCCTGGTTTCTTCGAAATCCATCAGGGACTGCGGGATGAAACGGAATCATCTGGTTGGTGCTTGAGCCATACCCCTCTAAAAAATATGACGAATCGTCAGTTTGGATTGTATATATATATATTATGGGAAAACCCCATATTTGATGGGAAAATCTATAGTTTCAAGATTTTTTCCCTTGAGCCAATCATGATTCTGATTCCTTTTTGAGTTGATGGACACAGACATATGTTCCGAGCGCCTTTTGAGCTGCTCCCGTCGTATTTCACGGCATCATTGGTGATGTGCTTTTTTGATTTTGCTGATCTGGTTGGTGGTTGAGCCACCCCTCTGAAAAATATAAAAGTCAGTTGGGACTATTATTCCCAAAATATGGAAAAATGTTCCAAACCACCAACCAGTGATGTATGCTGTTTTACCATATGGTTTGGTTCCATCACGATGGCTGACCTTAAAATAAACAATGTTGATTCTTACTACCTAACCTGTTCGTTGATCAAAACGCTGATGCGATTCCACTCAACATTGTAAATCTCGATCTAGGATATCGGACTACTAGTGTTGTATCATCTATGTAGCCTTCAACCGTCAGCACATGGCGTAGCATTTGCATTATAGCCACGATGCGGGGGTCCCCGAGTTAAGTTCGATCCTTTTTTCAACAAGCAGGGAGATTGCCTATGGCGACAACCTGTGTTGTCGAACCCTACACCCCAATCACCATAGTTTCCCTACCCCCCAATCCAAAAAACAAACTGGACACATTAATCCATGAACATGAACATGACACTACTATAACTAAATCCAATTAAAAAGAAAGAACACATAATATAAAATAATATACGGTTTAATGTCGTTATGACTTTGTCTGAACATGGGGTATCCCCCACATAACCACATTTCGAAAGGATAAATGATGAACAACCATCGGATGGAATAGGGTTTCCACCTAATTCTTCAGACAAACCCATGTGCAGCCCATCTAAACACTAATGTTTTCATGGCATAATACCAAGTCTTAATATCAACCCGGGATTAATACACCTCAGTTGACTAATCGAGGGATACCATGTATAAATGGAAATACGCCTAGTGTGTAATCCCCCAATATTAATAAAGTTGGGTTTTATTAATCTGTTTTTTTCATTAATATCTTCAATGTGGCCCTCCCGGTTGCTTTTTGTCGGTATATAATTCCATCAAACTAGTAACTAGTTTGTTATAACTACAATGTGAGGCCCCCCAGTGATGTTAGTCGGTTTATAAGCCCCAGTAACTACTTATAACTATAGTTACTGGGGCTTATAAACCGATAAGTACCATAAACCATAGTGACATTGGAGTTATTTGCACCAACTTAGCTATCGTGGCCGGGGGCCTCACAGTACCATAAACCCTGGTTAACCTAGTTAGTTCAACAAACTTAGCGATTCCGAACCGAGGCCCCACACCGTGTCTGCTTGGCTTCTTGTCTATAAATGGCTTATCAAATTAACCAGACTTGGTGTGCAACCCTCGAAAAAAAAAAGCCGAAAATCGTGTTTTTCAAATTTCGTAGATGAACTATGTATTTCATATTTCAGGAATATTTCCATATATATATACCCATATGCTCCATGTATGTTATATTTACCTACAAAACTGGATGATTTTGTTTGGGCAAATGTAGGTAAATATTCCAGCACCATGGTTCGCATATGGGATATATTTCCATATGTTTCCAGGAATATTGCCCAGCTTTCTCAGGTTTCTATCTTTTTCAGAGGTTGCTACGGGTTGCTCCCCACCAAGCTTCGTACATCCGCGAAGAAGGCGCGGATGGCCTCCTCATTGCGATGCCTTGGCACAAAACAGGGAAGTTCAATAACGAAAAACGGAGTTTTAACCATTATAAGTTAGTCATAACTACGGTAACTACCGTATAGTTAGGATGATGATCCAAGTAGTGTGACATATTTAAGGTATGGGTTGCAACCACTAGTTTTAACCGATAAATATATAGGATCTATGGTTACACTCCAGTAAACCATAGGTATGGATCATTAAACAAACAATTTTTGGTTAATCATGACTAGGTTTGGTTTATTAATCACCCCATATACGAACCATGGTGCTGGAATATTTACCAACATTTGCCCGAACAAAATCATCCAGTTTTGTAGGTACATATTCCAGCACCATGGAGCATCTGGGCATAGGAACTATGGTTATAGAAAATTACTTTACTTCGTGTGATCCCCACCATGACATTTATACATGTTCTTACTGGCACATCTTCTGGCATTCTATCTGACATATCTTCTGACATTCTATTTGGCATTCTATCTGGCATATCTTCTGGCATATCTTCTGGCATTCTATCTGACATATCTTCTGACATTCTATTTGGCATTCTATCTGACATATCTTCTGACATTCTATTTGGCATTCTATCTGGCATATCTTCTGGCATTCTATCTGGCAAATCTTCTGGCATTCTATCTGGCATATCTTCTGGCATTCTATCTGACATATCTTCTGGCATTCTATCTGGCATTCTATCTGGCATATCTTCTGGCATATATTCTGACATATCTTCTGGCATTCTATCTGGCATTCTATCTGGCATATTCTATCTGGCATATTCTATCTGGCATATCTGGATATCTTCTCTGCATTCTATCTTGACATATCTTCTGCATTCTATTTGGCATTCTATCTATCTTCTGGCATTCTACTGACATATCTTCTCATTCTGGCATTCTATCTGGCATATCTTCTGGCATCTGGCATATCTGGCATATCTTCTGGCATTCTATCTGGCAAATCTTCTGGCATTCTATCTGGCATATCTTGCATTCTATCTGACTTCTGGCATTCTTCTGGCATTCTATCTGGCATATCTTCTGGCATATATTCTGACATATCTTCTGGCATTCTATCTGGCATTCTATCTGGCATTCTATCTGGCATATCTTCTGGCATATCTATCTGGCATATCTTCTGGCATATTTTCTGGCATTCTACCTGGCAAATCTTCTGGCACTCTATCTGACATTTTATCTTCCTACATGAGGTCCGGCAGGGAACACTGGGCGTGGATGGTCGTGGTTGAGGTCCGGCAGGAACACTGGGCGTGGATGGTCGTGGTTGAGGTCCGGCAGGGAACACTGGGCGTGGATGGTCGTGGTTGAGGTCCGGCAGAGAACACTGTGGATCGCGGGTCGCAGTTGGAAGGACGACGAGGACGACGAGGACGACGACAAGGATGACAAGGAGGACGAGGAGGGAGGAGGAGGAGGAGAGAGGAGGACGAGAGGAGGACGAGGCAAGGAGGAGGAGGAGGAGGCAACTGACATAAAATCTAACAACCCTCACCTGGCAGGTGGGGAAAAAAATAAACGGGGATTTCACAAGTAAAAAAATGGTATGTAATCACTAAAGATGAGGAACAAAACTATAGATGTTTCTTTTATAGGATTCTGTTGGTTTACAGCTACAGCTGGATATATGGTGGAGTTAAATCTATATAGTTGACTGGGTGAACAAAAACCAACTTCTATCCAGGGGGCACCATCCATATTCAATAGCTGGGTTTTATGCATTGTTTCACCTTTCACCCTGCACCATTCAATCAAACCATTTGGTGCACGTTTGGATCCGTGGTCCACGGTCTGTACCTGGTGCATATCTCTTGATCCGAACAATAAGCGGCTGTAGAACAGCTCCCATCATCATGAGATGATATTGGTTGATGATTTTTTTCAGTTCTCTCCTGTGTTTGGCCAGGTATCTCATGTATGATGAGTATAAAATCAAAAACCTAGAACCTTTTGTACCAACGGATGTCCATTCCCAAAAACTTGGGTAGTTCAGGAGTCACATATTTGTTATTCATGTACTTACCCTCCAACAATCGAACATGGTTGGTTTGAAAATCCACCATTTATACATGAATTTCCCATTGAAACAAATAAAACCTTCATTTAGCGAGGATTTCACAGCTAGCCAGTTTGAATTACCAGAGGGTATATCCAATTGAGGTTTCATTGTGGAACCCAAATTGCCAAATCAACTAGCTTGTTGACAGCCAGGTCACTTGAACGAGGTATTGGTTGGCAAATTTGTAGTGTCTGAGAATTGATGAACATATCGTACACCTCCCATGTTTTTGCAATTTTAAGGGGACATGATGATCAGTGGATTTGGGGTTACCTTTTTTTGACAAACCATACAGTTTGGTTGGTAAACAAAAAGAAAGTCCTCTGACAGCAGTGGTGGTGAATCAATACACATACATGGATTATTAAACCACAGATCCTATAGTAATGAAGCAATAGGATACACCATCCGCAAATTTAACATTTTGATCGGTCCAATGGACTGGTTTCAGGGAAAATTGACAGAACCCCCATATTTCATGGGAAAATCACTGGTTTCCGATTAACATTTTCCCAAGAAAACCACTCCAATGATGGGCGGCATTGAAACCATCAATCCATAGCGCTGAGTCAAGGCTCTTGTGCAGCAGCATCATTCGGACCTCCAGAAAAACAACCGGTGCCACGTACCAAGTCAGGCTCCCGAGATTGGTAAGTTGGTATGTGGGGCCCCCCAGTGATGTGAACGTTGGTGAACAAAAGCCCCAGGAATACTATATTTATTTGTGTACCATAAACCATAGTTCTTGGAGTTGTGTTCACCAACTTAGCTATCGAACGGGGGCCTCACATTGTATATATATAAAGGGACAAATATTTGAATAGGTTTGATATGTTTTGATGGGGTTACCCTCAGGTAATCAAATGTGGTTGGCTAGAAAATTCACCAATCACATATTTTTCTTCCATTTAAACTTCCATTCAGCGGTTCATTGCTGCGTTTGATTACAAGTGGGTATAAAGTTTAAACTGACTTATCACTGGGGGGGTGGCCACATTGTATGTGGCCACTGGAACTGAAATATGCCTCAGAACATCTCAACAAATCCCAGTTATGGGAGGACACCCTAACGCTGGCATGACATCCACGCATGGCTTTGAACATGTGGGGCCTCCCCTTACGTGAAGGTGTGTTGGTTTAAAACCCCACAATATAATTATTTCGTTAGAACTACCATAAACCCAACAGTTAGCCTAGCTAGTGCAACCAACTTAGCGATTCCTAACTGCGGCCCCACATTGTTTGCACGTGTTCGGGCGCCACACCATCCGATTCACACACCATGCGGAAAATCATCAATAAACGTGATGCAGATTTGAGATGTCCGCCATGTTTTGGACAAAACCGTGTAGCTCCAAATGCGAGGTTCAGCATACAAATAGTTGATTTAAAACAAAAACAACATTCGATTCCTGTCACCATCCATAAGCATCTATACGTGTCATGGTCTAAACATGGTACAGTATTATATATATATGTATATTATTGTAAATATATATATATATATATTTATATGATAACATATGTGGTGAGGGTATCCCAGCCGATGGAGAATGGTATGGTAGTCCCAGCATCATTACGGGTTCCTTATAATGGTTATATGATACATGAATCCGTATTCATGGGTTGATGACCATCCCAATATGAAAACATAACTACTGTTTTGACCCTGGCACATGTAATCCGTTGTTTGTGGCACTTCGTCAACCGTTTCTGGTAGATATAACAGATAATCTAAACGATATAACCAACCCAAAAGAATGATTCTAGCATGAATTTGACATTGAGACATTTATATCCATGAATCAAGCAACCCAAACTACCATAGCCGTCCATTTACCAAAGTTCACCCATCTCTCCATACTCAAATCAAACATGGCAGTGGGAAATCCACGTGGATTCCCATTAAGACACCATTTATAGATGATTTTCACTCGCTATGTTGGATGGGAAAAAAAATGCACCAGTTAATAGGTGGTTTATCCCTTTATTTACAGGGTTAAAACCACCCTTTTGGTGGTGCAGGTTTTTTTCCATCCACGGTATGTTGGATTGCCAGACTGCTAAATAAAATGTGGTTGGGACACTCCATTCGTAGCTCCGCAGGGGTCCCCATGTAAAATAGGAGATGGATAGATATCTGCTCGGAACCGCTCCCTCCGTTTACCACCGGACAGATAACATGATTCATTGTATGAACGAAGAAGGAAAACTATTATAATTACATGCCATGATTATATACTATATATGTATATGTGTGTGTACCACCAGGTTTTGGTTGATGAAACCTTCATATTTCATGCCGCATGCGCGGCCAAATACTCTTGTTCCCCACCTGTCAGGTGATGGTTGTTAGATTTTATGTCAGCTGTCCTCCTTCTCCTCCTCCTCCCCCGCCAGACCTCAACTGCAACCTCGTGATCGCAGTGGTCCCCGCTGGACCCGAACAGCAAACTCAGGATCAGAGTGCGCAGGCTCGCACACTATGGCTGAAGTATGACTGAACTATAGCAAATTTAATTCAAATTATAAATGGCACTATGGCTGAACTATAGCAGTTTTAGTTTAAATCATGAATGGAACTATGGCTGAACTATGGTAATTTCAACATGAATTATAAAAAAAGGAATTAAAGCTGAACCATGGCTGAACTATAGCTGAACTATAGCAGTTGCATTTTTAAGTTAGGAATGGAACTATGGCTGAACTATGGCAATTTTAACTTGAATTATAAAATAAATTATGGCTGAACTATGGCTGAACTATAGCTAGTTTAATTCGAAGAGAAAACGAACTATTGCTGAACTATAGCTACGTTAGTTTGAACTATAGCTAGTTCAGATTGAACTCTTGCTAGTTCATTTAGAACTATAGCTATATAGTTCATTTAGAACTATAGCTAGTTCAATCTGAATCATAGCCTAGTAATTGTTCTTTTCGTTTGGGATTTTTAATGGCGACCTTTTTCTTTGTTTTTGGGACCCTTTTTGGGCGCAAAAAGGTCGCCCTTTTTAACCCCTTTCGCAGTGCCAAACCAGCAGGAAAAATTACCATTATAGCCAATTTGAACTTTGAACTATAGCTAGTTCAGTCTAAGCTATGGCTCGTTCAATCTACACTATAGCTATTACAATCAGAGCCAAAGCTGGTTTCATTTAATCTAGTTGTTTATTAAAGAGACATACTTAGACATATTGGAAAAAAATAATATATACCAAACAATCACCAAACCACACAATATTCATGACAAATAGAAATACAAAAAACTAAATCGAGAAGCTGCTACAATTTAGAAAAAGTAAAGCTAGTATAACTTAAATATGATTGAGCTAATCTTGTTTATATATAATATAAGAACCTATATTTATATATCCTTTACAGGAACTGTCTTTGCAAACCATGTCCTTTGCAGGAACAATCTTTGCAGACCATATCCTTCACAGGAATTGTCTTTGCAAACCATGACCTTTTCAGGAACTGTCTTTACAAACGATATCCTTCATGTACAGACACTCTCTTTTCAAAATGCAAACTTATTAAACACTACGGTCATATATGTAAACATGAAGCCCTCCTTGAGTTCTTGTCGCAACCATGTGGTGGTCTTAGTATTTGTTGATAACTTTCTAAAACTTGTGATAACTTTTCCTAAGCACTTATGTTAAGTCTGCTGACGTAGTTTTGAAAAGATACCATAAATATAAAATACTTGCGATAAGTTCGTTAAGATCTTATATTTTACCTAAATATTTACAACCTCACATAGCTGGCTAGCTGAAGTTATAACTTACTTGTCAAAAGTTATGAAACTTTATATACTTGCAAACCAGATTATAGAGACGTTATGAAGGGTTTACAAGCACGTTATAGCTCATATAAATTTGTAAACTCACATAACTTTGGGGTTGGTAGCAAGAACAGAACAAAGGAGGACCCTGTCCCATGCTGGCAAACCCATCAGACCTCTTCGAGGCCTCGAGAAGTTCGTCTTGCAGCAAGATGCTTGTCCGCACATCGGTCATGATCGCGAAAATCTTGGGCCAAGTGTCCAATCAATCTTCGCTTTTGAAGGTCAGAGCATGCTCACTTGAAGGCAAACTCTTTTTGCTTATATCCTTCGTACTGTAGTCTTTTGGTATACTTTGGTCCACCGTGGGGTCAATGTTGGAAAGCGCGTTTTATCCGATGGAAGCGCCACATGTCCTCTTGCAATAAGCACTACCCAAAGTCGCGCATGCGCTACTGCAAAGACTGGGCTTGAAGCATTTCGTGTCACAAGCGTGGTCTCAGCCTGCTTGTCCTTGAATTCGGGAATGCATTCCAGCTCCCATCCGTTTCCTGTGCACCCATTTGCAGCCCAGAATGCCATCGCACCACAGGGAGGTGCCAGTGTGATCCTACCATCTACATTCATTCATGTAAAACCCATATTTGTTCGGGTAGGCTGTTAAGATAAGCAAAAAATAGTACGTGGTTTAACAAGAAATATGTCCCCAAGATGGCGTGCGTTCTAACAACCGCTGGATGGGTTCCATTGCTCTCCCAGCGCCTTGATGCCTCCTGCCAGGATGACCCAAGTCAACGCACCAAAAGAATACCTCGAAGACCAGCTGGAACTGATGACCAGATGTTTGACAAACACAAAAAGTTGCGTATAGGGATGCGTAGACGAAACAAAAATGTGCGAGAATGTTTGACGAATACACAAATATATATATATATTATACATACATAAGTATATATATATTATACATATATATATATATTATACATATATATATACATATATATTATACATATATACATATATATATATACATAAATATATACATATAAATATATATATATATATAAATATAAATATATATATGTATATATATACACATATATATATATTATTTTTATATATATATATATATACGTTGTCACCGTTGCCACCTATCATGAATATATAATATATAGGTATACAATCAAGAAAGTTACCCCTGGAGAGTCCTTATGGCTACAACGAAATTCTTTCGGGGCCTTGGTAGATAACTATAAAATGTGACAAGTTGCCCCTGAATGGCTGAAGAGAAACCCCCCAATGTTTTGTTTACTTGTGAAGTCTCCTCATGGAAATACCCCTGATGTTCTGAAGTAAACAACCTCCCAAGTTTTCTTTTGATTCGTCATTCTTTCCGATTTGCTCTCTCCTGGGGTTAGTCTGACTCATGCCCACTTGAAGTGCCTTGAGCCCCATCGCGCAATCAATATTGAAGAGGTGTCAATGGAACATAGGTCATGATGTTGGAGATAACGCAAAGCAGGGGAAAAAAACCAAGCAAAAAAATCGGGTCTCAAGTTCAAAGTACCCTGGAGGTCTCAGGTATATCAAAATTTATCCTCACCACTGGCCAGGCCACAGATCGACGCGTTGATTGTAATCCTTAGCAGCTGATCACCCCCGGGTCGATGTACTCCGGTGTCCCCGGAGGAATGCGACGCGGCCTTGCATGTGGCTGCTGAATCAAGCAAGTGGCAGGTGGACGTGGGAGATTAAAAGAACATTAAAATAAACATCTGAACCTCAACTGCAAGCTCGTGATCGCAGTGGTTCCCTCCGGGCCCGAGCAGCCACCTCTGGATCAAAGTGATCCCCGCCGGACCTGGACCACAAAGAATCTCCAAAGATATACCAAGATATACCAGATGGAATGCCAGAAGATAAGCCAGATACATATGCCCGAAAGAATGTCAGAAGATTTGCCAGATAGAATGTCAGAATATATATATATATTTATGTCAGATAGAATGTTTTGGTGGGGATCACTCGAAGAATGTAATTTTTCCAAGGAACGTGTCCGGCAGTGCAATACGCCGAGACGTGAAAGTCGTTAAACCTGGCAGCCGTGATGATGGTAATACCCAGCAGGGGGCACCAGTGATTTATGGAGACTATATAGGGGTTAAATAGAAATTACATAGGGATTGTATGGGTGTGTCTGACACTGGGGAATACCGTTAAATGACCTTTTAACTACGGGAAAATGATGATTGATCAGCAGGTTTCCGAGTAACATTTTTTCAGACAAACCCATATGGAGATTCTATGGCATTATATATTTGGGCAAATTATAACAATTCACTATTCTGAAATGTTGGGCCATTTTGGGATGATTCCTCTTATTGACCATCATTCCAGTGAGGGAGAGCAGTGAGGTCGCAACAAAAGTTACCCAGATTTATGGAGCTTAACCATCAACAATGGTGCTGATATGGGGATATACCGGTGTCATCAGCTCCGAACCACGCTTTTTTTCCGACTATATAGTGGGGTATTCAGCCACGATTGATTACAGGCGGATATTGTAGGACGGGTCACCCCGGTTGTTTTTCTTGGTTTAACCATGTATCTCAATGGTTAGCTGATAGCTCATCTATCAATATGAATGTTCTACACGTCAAACAAATTGCGAATTTCCCATATTTCAGCAATTTTCAATATATATCAGTTGGGGATTTCTTATGCAACTATCTAAGAATCTAATATTTTCCATATATATATATTTATATATATATATATATCAAATATATATATATATATTTTTTGGCGGGTTCCCATATTTCGATAGGAACCAACAAACAAACAGGACGAACCGCTCCACCAAGTGATCGATCGAACAAAGGGAAGTCCTTCCGATATACCTTTTCCGTGGTTTTCAGTGTTACCATGTGGTTAGTTGACATAGCTATGGAACATCGCCAGTTTTAATCAATAGGTAAATCATCATAAATCATCTATAAATGGGCAATTTTCCATAGCTATGATAAATAACCAAAGCGTAAGTCGCAAACATGGGGGGTGAAGCATGTATATAGGGTTTCCTAAAGTGGTGGTACCCCAAATCACCCGGGGTTTCAATACTAAAATGGTTTAATGGGTGATTCAATCTGTAACAAGGGACGTTTCAGCGTCAGCCTTCAAAACATACTCATCATAACTCAGGATGTTCAACGGACACGACTGAAAATGTTTACAGCAACAATGAAATTTCGATGAATTTCGTCACTTGACCGTTTTGCTGACAACCTGCAAACACTTCTATTAAGGACGATTTGGTAATCACAATCTTTTCAGTGGCCAGGATGGATATAGGTTTTGACCCATAACTAGTCTGGTCGCCCCTTTGCTGTACGTATCGCGTCAAGGTAAAGAATGGCAGCGGAATAGGGAAAGACAGAGATGACGAGAGGAAGAGAGAGAGAGAGAGAGGGAGAGCAAGATTTAGTGTTATCACTACAGTTATGGCAATTTATTAGTTATAATTGGTTATTTCTATGGGATTAGAAACATTCTATACATGGGGTGACTAGTTAGTACATCCATAACTGGTATAAATGGGGCCATCACTGCAGCTGTATTCTAGCTATCTGCAAATCATCCAATACCCTCTGGTAATCTAACATAACTATGGAAAATCACCCTAGAAATAGTGAGTTTTCCCATGAAAAATTGTGATTTTCCATAGTTATGTAAACGTTTACCAGAGGGTAATTCGTGGGATTTCTCAAAATCATAGTCGTGGAATTTATTAAAACCTCCATTTATCATGGATTTTCAATATGTTAAATAATCAGATGGTATATACCTATTAAACATGATGTTTGATTCCAGCAGGTGATTCGAATGACAAAAATATCATCTCCGATTGGATCATGGTGCACGGTGACATAACAGTTATGTCAATGGCTACAATGTGAGGCCCCCGTTCGATAGCTAAGTTGGTGCAAAGAACTCCAATTTCACTATGGTTTATGGTACTTATAACGAACTAGTTACTGGGGCGAATCTAAACCAACTAACATCACTGGGGGGCCTCACATTGTAACTGGATATTTCAAGGGGATTAATTGGTATAACTTAATTGTAAATAGTGGTAAATAATGGCTAATAGTGGTTAATACTGGCTAATAGTAATTGATGATAACACCCAAAATATAGTATATTTACTGGTTGGTGGTGCAATAACCATCTTGAAAAATATGAGTCAATGGAGTCAATGGGAAGGATTATCCCATATATGATGGAAAATAAAATCCTGTTCCAAACCACCAACCAGTATCCGAAATATCCCTGAAAGTATCCCAATCAAATCACATTAGATCCACATGTGCATTTTTTTGGGCTAGATCCCCCATGGGTATACCATGATATACCCCACTTGGCCGCAGCTTTGTTGGCCCACGAAGTCACCATGGGAAAACTGACCGACAAATCCAAAACTTCGGCCAATGGAGAAATATATAGGATCTATGGTTACACTCCAGTAAACCAGTAGGTATGGATCATTAAAAAACCATAGTATTTGGTTAATCATCCCTAGGTTTTTGGTTCATTAATCACCCCATATGCGAACCATGGTGCTGGAAGATCTTTTACCAGCATTTGCCCGAACAAAATCACCGAGTCATGTAGGTTTTTATATACCAGCACCATGGGAAAGGCGCAGCCAGCTGCAGCTGCTCGTCACCATTTAAGGCGATGATTCTCCGTCATTTATGCTGGGATGAAGGTCCAGTAGAGGCTTATACAGTTATGGCCCCAGTTATACCAGTTACCCTCTGGTAATTTAACATAGCTATTGAAAATGGCCATTTATAGTGGATTTTCCCATTAAAAATAGTGAATTTCCATAGTTATGTTAATTTACCAGAGGGTATAACCCATCTGCTCCATGTATGGTATATTTACCTACAATACTGGGTGATTTTGTTCGGGCAAATGTTGGTAAATCTTCCAGCACCATGGAGCATCTGGGTAAGTACTAACAAGTCACCCCAAATTTATAGTTCATCTTTCTCATCCCATAGATATAGCCAGTTATTTCACTTATAGCCATGGCCATAACTGTAGTAATCTCTTCTCATCCCCTAGGATTTCATGACACAGTTGGCAAACATGAATTTTCATGAATCATCCCATGTTTGCTGCCCCGAATTCGGGTTGTACACCCACTAATCTGAGGTGAAAATACCCTTCTGTAAATTCACATAGCTATGAAAAATGTGACCCATGTATAGATCATTTACATGGAATTTTACCTATTAAAATTGTGATTTTCCATAGCTATCTTCGTTTATACAGTGATGGCCCTTTACCAGTTATAAGACAGTTATAACCCCATTTATGGAATTAAAACCAATTAAAACGCCATAGAAATAACAACTTACAATCATGTATAACTGGTAAATGGCTTTAACTGTACCAAAGGGTCCCCCAAGTTTGAATCACCATCGATTCATCCGAAACATGCCCGGGCTCACTTGTCCACCACTCGAAGGAACATAGAAGAGGTGTTCCAAACCATTTCGTCCACCTAAGAGATCACAGATCATGTTCCTTGGTTATGTAGAAAGTTCCAGTTATGGCCCAACAAACAGTTTTTTTGTTATGGGTGTATACTGATATAAAACCAACTAGTTATAGGAGCTATAAGTCCATTTACAATTGTTAAGGGCCATAACTCATAACTTGTTCATTTCTTTCTGAGACTAAGCTAGGACTGGGTATGGCTCAAACCATTGACCGATCACAGATTAGGGCCTGTGTTTGTCATAGCTTCTGACAGCTCATCTGGAAGTATATATGGTACTGGAACTGCACTACCAGTTCTGTTTGTTTTAATTCGCCCCATTAACTAGTTCCTTATATCTACCATAAACCATAGTTAATTCAGCCACTTATATCTCAATTGAACGCTATTTATGGTTATGGAAGATTAAAAGCTATAGCCCCTTAAGAACGTAGCACGGTGCCCTGGTTCACCATTTTGCGAACTTTTTCCACAGATAGGACAGATAGAACCCCCAGGGTAGGATATGACCCATACCCAAATGGGATATATAAACGGATATGCTGATTGTCGATATGGATCAAACAAGAACATACCCTCTGGTAAACATACAAAAAACTATGGGAAATCACAATTTTTAATGGAAAGACTCACTATAAATGGGCCATTTTCAATAGCAATTCGTTAAATTATCAGGTTGGTATATAATAACTTTCCTGTAAATTAATATCATTCGGCGCTAACCATTGCAAGGTTTTTTGGAGAATAATCAATCGCCCAGTGGGCAGATAAGGTACTGAAAAACCTTGCGGGGTGCGGACTATGTATCTACGGATTAAATAAATATCCATACCATCCTCATCAATTTGACCCCCTTGTTCCAAGATTGTATCACCTGGGTGTGTCTGTAAATGGAATATACTCCAAAAATAGATATTGAATAGGGATAAACAATGATAAACTACAATGTGAGGCACCCAAGATAGCTAAGTTGGTTTATAACTCCAATTTCACTATGGTTTATGGTACTTATAACTATAGTTACTGGGGCTTATAAACCAACTAACATCACTGGGGGGCCTCACCTTGTAGGGCATTTTTTGGGTAGTTTTGGGTACCCTATCATCAGATCAACGCCTGGTTTTGGCAGTCCAACTCGCTCACCTGCTCACCGTCTGGCGAATAAGCCGTCATGTTACTTCAACTTGCACACGTACTCCATGCTACAAAATGGGTCCCGCGACGTTTAGACTAGAAATCCAACTCTTGTTAGACATTCACCATAACTCCACGAGGTGTTGTACTTAGGCTTGTTAACCAGCAGAACATTTCTCCCGGAGTCCCTGTATTTTCCCCGTACATTTCCATAAAATTTGCTGTTGATATTACAGATTGAATGTCGAAGGAGTGTCGGTATCTCTGATTGTTTTCCATATGAGCCAATGTGAGAGGTGGAAAATGCCTCAAACAAAGGACAGTGAATGGGGACTCCATATTTTCACACCATCATCCCACATCTTGGTTCCCTTTTCAGTTCCAAACAATGCGGGCCCCCAAGTGATGTTAGTTGGTTTATCACCCCCTCATTAGTCCATCTAACTATAGTTACAAGATGTTACAAGTACCATATCCCCTAGTTATTTGAGGGCCCCACTTTGAAACGATCCAGAATTTGTTCACCGCTTTCCGCTCGAGTCAAGGAGCCAAATCCAACGCAGCACGCACGACGAATTGATCCAAGTGCGGACTGTCCTGGGAATCGGCACGGCAATACCCCACAATGATGTTTGGCTCTATGGATATCTTGGAAATGCAGTGCCATCTATGAGTGGATATACAATTTCTATAAGCTGAGGCATACCAATCTTCAGGTAACACCACATGTTCCTGGTTGTATTAACTCGTGATACATCATGTAGAACAATGATTAAAAGCAACAATAAACATGTTATTTCATCCCATTTGGTTGATGATGGTCCCCGAAAAAGAAGCAAATCATCCCATAACCACGTATAGATACATATCCCAAATAACATTCCAAGACTTCCTATAGTCAAGTCCCCATGTCTGATGGTAAGATAACAATTACCCGGTGGCTAATTAAATCACCTACAATTAGCGAGGCCCTTGTCAGGTCATACCTTAGTGAACAAAACTCGCATCGAACTCGATATGCCATAAACCCTAGGCAACTAGTCAACCAAGTTATCAACCAACTTAGCTATCATAAATCAGCTATGTTCATCCCATATTTTACCATGGTTTTCCCATGGTTTTCCTCATATTTTGCCAGGTGAAATCACCACGTCCGATGTGTTGGATGGGCCTCACGCAGTCCCTCGGTACTGAGATCTGCTTCGTAGATGGGGACGTCATCCTCCGGCGGTCTGAATCCTTTCTGATATAGTTAAATTCCCAATAAAAAAACATCAATAAGCAGGATCGTGGTTTATAGTTTATAGTTTTAATATGTTTTTTTGATGTTTAATATAGTTGATAAACCATATTAAGCCACATATTTTGGATTGGTTGAACTACTAATCCCATGAAACCATATATAATTAACCATATTGATTCATCCCACTACATAGAGGTTTCCACAAATGGGGTACCCCAATAGCTGGTTTATAAGGGACAATCCGATCTAGAAATGGATGATTAGGGGGTAGCCTTATTTTAGGAAACCTCCATATAGTGGGATGAACTAGACTAATTAAAGGAAAGCTGGTTGGCGAAGTTGGTTGAACTTAACTGTTAGGGTTTGGGATATGCCATCTGGTTATTTAACATAGCCATGGAAAATCCCCAAAATAGAGGTTTCTAGCTGGGAAAATCATCTATAATTGGGCCATCTATACCATGGCTATGTTAAAAAACCAGAGGGTAGCAAACTTGTTAGATGGGCGTTCAGCTACCTGCTGGATCTATGGCGATTAATCTATTGTTCAATGGGGTTCCCATGGGAAACTGGAAAGATGAAATCACGTAGTTCTTGTTTGTCACAAGAAAAGTGATTGCCTGTGTTCTGGGACCTACAAGTAACCCCCCATGATAGTCAACAAAGAACATAATTCCCTGACATTGGCTAACATATCAGGTTTGTGTTTGTTTTGTTTCATTTTTACAAACAAAATACCGCCGCTATTTCACATAATATATATATACACTATATACTGTGAATGTTTCATAAAATGTCCAAGACATGATTCAACATCATGAACATGGTGATTTCTGCTGTTGCTGATAATCATCTGCAATTACATTGTCAGTCAATACCCCAAGCATGTCCAATGGCAAATGCTGATTGATACCCCCGCATCTGGATGATGCTTTCCCTTCTGACTTCTGATAAATCCTTCCATCTATTTCTGGCTCTCTACATATCATATTCAACCTTCGGAAAAAAAACTGCGACTAGCTTTCTCGGATTTGACTTTAGTATTAATGGTTATATAATCCATTAACCCATGATAAAAATTGGGATTCTTTGGGAATTGCTTCTTCTTTTTACATGCAACTAGTGGGCCCCCCAAACGTTATGTTTCTTGGTTTATAATCCCATCCACCTATATTTATAAGTGCCATAAAGCCTAGTTTTTGTACTCATGTTCACCAACTTAGCTATCATCAAAATCAGCTATATTCATCCCATGGAAATCCAATTTTCGGTGAAATCACCATTTTCCTACAATGTGAGGCCCCCGTTCGATAGCTAAGTTGGGGTTCACATAACTCCAATTTCACTATGGTTTATGATACTTATAACATCTTATAACTTATAACGAACTAGTTCCTGGGGCTTTTGTTAACCTCACTGGGGGCCCTCACATTGTATGGTTTTTCTATCTCCTAATTCGATGCAGTCCACTTAAGCCCGCAGCGGAACCCCCTTTTCAGATCGCCTTCCCCACGATGATGAGGACATTCACCAGCGCCGCCTGGGTGTTTCATACAAGGAAAAAGAATGACCAGTGAGATGTGAAGCGTTCGTTGGCGTTTACCCATCCAACTTGTTTGATATATCAATATTTATAGTATATTTATATATGATAGATATTTGGTTGGTGGTTGATTATTGCAAAGGCTATGATTTTGTTTACCCTTTGGGTCAATGGGAAAATAATGACCAGTTCGTCAGTTAAGGTGATGACATTCCCTATGGAAAAATGAAACATGTTCCAAACCACCAACCAGAGTTTTTTTTCGTATTATTGCTAAGGCTATGATTTGGTGGCTTAGTCTTAACATTGCTTGACTAATCACTACTTTGGTGGGATAATAGTGGCTATATATAGTGATTCGTACTAATAACGGCTAATAGTGGTTAGTAATGATGGTTAATGCTGACTAAGAATGGTTCATAGTAGTTAATAGTGATTAGTACTGTTTACCCTCTGGTAACATGGCAACTGGACATCCCTATCAAAAATGCAGGTTTAGTTTGCTGGGAAAATCAACGAACTAAATGGTATTTTTTCCAGGAAACCATGTTTGATTACCGGAGGGTAATGGGCTTTGAACCAATCGGTTTATGAAGATATAGTGCGATATGGTGCGATTTACCAGTCAATAACAGAGGAAAACTGTCCGTTAACTAAGGTGGTCGAACTAACTTGGTGAACTGTTATGGCCCCAGTTATACCAGTTATAAGTACTAACAAGTCACCCCATTTATAGAAAGTATAATCCCATAGAAATAACCAGTTATTTCACTAATAGCCATGGCCAGTTTAACTGTTGGAACTAGTTTGATGGGAGTACACACCCACGATTTTCGCTGGCCTCTGCAAGCCATGACCCCATGGTTCAATGTGAAAATCAAAGGTTGTTTAAGGTCCCCCAACGCTGATAAACAGTAAAATTGATCTAGCCTCTAGTGATTATCTCTGCTACGGAAAATCACAAATCACAATGTTTAATGGGTAAATAAGTAAATAATCATACGTATGTGAATCATTTATAAATTGGCAATATTCCGGCCTTTTCCATAGTTATGGTAAATAAATGTAAATAATTAGAGGACAAATGGAATTTTAAAAAGTGCTTCAATGTGCCCAAACAATTCAGTGACCATCATCTTAACGACCGACATGTTCCGCCCGAGTTGCAAGTTGGTTAACAATCCCAGGGACCGATATTTATAACGACCACAAACCCTAGTTAACCTAGTTAGTTCAACCAACTTAGCGATTCCGAACTGGTGTAATTTCTAGAAACAACAAGACGTTTTTGGGCGCTGGAGGGTTCAAAACCATCTGTCATCCCTCAATAGTTGGTTTATGGAGGCCCCCAAGATAGCTAAGTTTATTGGAGGCCCCAGGAATACTATAGTTATAAGTACCATGAACCATAGTGAAATTGGAGTTATTTGCACCAACTTAGCTAAACCAGGTTGGTTAAAATCAGGTTCATAGAATGGTCAAATGAGTCCCCTTATTGTAGCCCTTGAACCAAAACTGTAGGTAGAAAAAAACCAGCCCAAAACTAACAATAACCAACAGAAATAATCCACGAACCAGGAACCAATCAAAAATGATCATCTACTACTGAAATGGTGATTGAATATTGAGATTGCAGTGAAGGTCATGGGTATAGTCATGCTAATCACTGCCTAAAATTGGGATTTACCCCTTACAAGATGGGGGACTCCCCGCGGTATGTTGGTGTTTAAACCCAGTTGACTATAGTTGTAACTGCCATAAACCAGAGTTATTGGAGTTCTGCCAAGCTAGCTACAGGATGGTGCCCCATAGCTAGCAAAGTTGCCTTATAAGTGACTTATCTATGTTTTATGGCAGATATAACCATAGATAACAATGGTCAATGGGGTTGATCAACCAGCTTATAACTGGGGGGCACCAAGCTGTATCGTAAACTAGAGCGCCACCTTGTATTACGGTCATACTTACAATGTGAGGCCCCCCAGTTATAAGTTGGTTAACAAAAGTGGTTTATAAGCCCCAGTAATTAACTATAGTTATAAGTGCCATAAACCATAGTCACCGGAGTTATTTGCACCAACTTAGCTATCGAACGGGGGCCTCACATTGTAGCTGAATTACAATAAAAAAAACGCTGTGAAAATCGCTGAACAGTTGGGCCCCCTATGGAGATGAATCCCGAGTCCCCATCTCTCCAGTGACGTCACGTGACGTTTCATGAAAAAGATCATCCAGATAATCGTGACCATATACTGGGAGGTTTCCATAGTCATGGAGGTACCCCTAAAAATCGCTGGTTGGTTTATTTGTGTGTATTTCATGGAAAATCCCATGAAGGTGTGGTTAAAACAAAAAAATAAACCATCCCCAGTTCATCACCATCAATGGGTTGTATAAACCATAAAAAATGGGGTGGTGTTATGGCACTGTTTTAACCACATGTTTCTGATTTTTCCCATGGTAAAGATGTCCACATTAAAATGGATAACTACAATGTGAGGCCCCCATTCGATAGCTAAGTTGGTTCAAAAAACTCCAATTTCACTATGGTTTATGGTACTTATAACTATAGTTAATTCCTGGGGCTTTTGTTAACCAACGTTCACATCACAACGGGGGGCCTCACTAATTGTAGGGGTAGCCCCATGACTTCGGAGGTTTCCTCCACTGAAAATCCCATCCCTTCACCCTGGTGTGATACGAGGTGGGGCGAGTGATAAGTTTGTTTATAAACCCATCTACCCTCTGGTAAACATACAAAAAACTATTGAAAATGGCCATTTATAGTGGATTTTCCCATTGAAAATGGTGATTTTCCATAGTTATGTTAGTTTACCAGAGGGTACCTATAGATATACCCTGATATATCCCCTAATCCAGCCTATAGTTATTGCAGTTACAAACCAGCTGGATTCCAACTTTGCTATCGAACGGGGGCCCTACATTGTAGGAGCATGGAATTATGATGTAGAACTGCACCTGCAAGGTCTCGAGAGCATCGCCAAAATCGGTTTTCCGCAAGTCCCGTTTTTCACGAGGTGATGACGGGGATGAACGTGCCTTCCCCACATGGCCCTGGGTGTCTTGACAACTGTGTCTTTAATATTTTTTTATCACAAATTTACATTGATTATCCCAACGAAAACGGGAAGTAAAATGATAAAACCATCACAGGGTGCGGTGATTGTTTCAGGTTTTTCATTGACGTACTCTTCAACTAAGGTAACCACTTTGATGAGAATATGATGTGTACGGATCAAATCCCAGGCTCAACATATTGTATTTGTTGGTTTATAAATCCATCCAACATCAGATATATATATAATTGAATCCTGGATGGTAATCGTCATCTCAGTGAGCCAATTCTAACTTGAGCCAATTCTAACTTAGCGTTTCGAATTGGGGGACGCGTGATCTGTATGGTCATGGCCTCAAAAAGGGTGGAATTTCCAGTGGGATACAGACTCTTCCAATGGAAAAGTCCGAGAGATGGCAATAGATATTGAAATTAAAGGCAAACAGGAATGGTCATCCAGAATATCCTATTATAAAAGAAAATAGTACAATGTGAGGCCCCCAGTTATAAGTTGGTTTATAAGCCCCAGTAACTATAGTTATAAGTACCATAAACCATAGTTTTTGGAGTTGTAAACCAACTTAGCTATCTTGGGGGCCTCACATTGTATATATAGAGAAACCGAGTAGTATATCAATCCCTGGAACTCAGCCATTTCTGTGGGGAAGGCCATTCGGAAAACGCTTCCGCCGTATCAAGACGGTCGGATGCGGCGCATGCAGATACCCTACTGTTGACTCATACCTCCGCAATCCTGCATATGTGCCATGGTCGAAACCTCCACAGTTATGGCCCCAGTTATACCAGTTATAAGTACTAACAAGTCACCCCATTTATAGTTCATGTTTCTCATCCCATTGAAATTTCCAGTTATTTCACCATCATCAATCACTATTAGCCACTATTAACCATTATTAACCAGTTATTTCACTTAGTTATAACTAATAGCCATGGCCAGTTTACTGTGGGATGAATGTGGGCCCTGGCCATGGGCCCTGGCCATGGGCCCTGGTCATCAGATAATGGGAATCCAAAAAAAAACACGGCTGCCAATCTGAAATCATCTAAAATCCTTTGAGAAATCCCTATTAAAATGGATTGAGAGTAAAATCTCTACCCCAAAACATCATATAATAATCATGTATTGTCAGACTTAATGGTATGGTCATCTCTACCCATTATTCATTAATCCATTTCTCGACCATGATGTATATCTGGGTATATTGTAACAACTCACTAATCGAAAATGTTGGGCTAATTGAGCTAATAATACTGGGATAATTCATGATAGCTCCCCGTATCCTAACCATGATTCCAGTGAGGGAGAACAGTGAGGTCGTTATAATTTACCCAGACATGGAGGTTTCCTGAAATGGTGGTATCCCTAAATCACCCATTTTGGTTCGGATTTTTCCATTATAAACCAACCATTTTGGGATACCCCCATTTATGGAAACCTCCACAGTTATGGCCCCAAAAACCAGTTATAAGTACTAACAAGTCACCCCATTTATGGAATGTATCTCATCCCATTGAAATATCCAGTTATTTCACCATCATCAATCACTATTAGCCATTATTAACCATTATTAACCACTATTGATCAACCTGCAATGCGAGGCCCCCCAGTGATGTGAACGTTGGTTTAGATTAGCCCCAGTAACTAGTTCGATAGTTGTGTACCATAAACCATAGTTATTGGAGTGTTTTGAACCAACTTACTCTCTGGTAATTTAACGTAGCTATTGAAAATGGTCATTTATAGTGGATTTTCCCATTAAAAATGGTGATTTTCTATAGCTATGTTGAATTACCAGAGGGTAGCCATCGTTTTTTCCGCGGGCCTCACATCCTGGGAATGGATGGACTGTTCAGAAAACGGCATGGGTCAACGATGGTCAACGGCCCAAGGAATCCCAAGGATCCCACTGAGGTTTGGTGCTGGATCATCCTCAAACGGCCCCGCGGATTAATCATGTGTATATGAACACATAAAAACCACCAAAAGATCTATATACCAAAAAAAAATAGGCTTAGATATGATATGACATCAAACTGTGCACATTTCTAGATATGATACAATATATACTGTATATACTGTATTACATCTATATATATATATATTTATCATATGTAAAACATATATGTAAATCATATGTATATCTATCATATGTATATCATATGTGTTCATATGGAGGTTTCCTAAAGTAGGCGTATCCCCAAATCATCCATTTTAATAGGATTTTCTCCTATAAACCATCCAGCTATGGGGGTACCCCCATTCAAGGAACCCCGGCATTCTGTGCACGGGTCAGTTGTCGTGCACAGGTTCAGCATCAAAATGGTGGTTTCTGTAAATGGGGGTACCCCCATAGCTGGATGGTTTATTTCATGGAAAATCCTATTAAGATGGATGATTTTGGGGTACCCCTATTTTAGGAAACCTCCAAATGCTGATCTAATGGTGTTTTAATGGAATTTGATGGTTTGCTGGTGTTTTAATGGTATCTGAATGGGATTCAACTAGGAACACATGGTGATTTGATGGGATCGATTTTTTTTTGTTTGACCTTGTTTACAGAATCCATCATCAACTCTGGTAAAACTGGGTATGGATTCCTTTGATATTTTCTGACACGTGCAATCCCTTCATGCGGAATCCGTGTTCAAGAGTTCCAACACGAAACACAAAGTCTTTGACAAAAGAGGTGCTATGGCTTGAGGCAGAGCGTGGTGTTAAAGATCCGAAATGTAGTTTGTGTTAAATGAACACATGCTAAAATCTG